GCCCCTGAGTTCAGTAACTACTCTGAATTTTTCTTGGCAATGAATGCATGCAGGCAAGAGATATTTATGATCCTGCGAAGGACATTTGTCAGAGTTTGTTCTTAAATCAACACTTTTACCTTTTTTCGATTTTCTACTATCTAGTGAGGTACAAATCCCTTATAAAGCTTTCCCCATAGTTGTGAGCATCTATTTCCAAGGGTATTTTCATCGTGCAAAGCAGACTGTTGCTTCAGTTCCAGGGTAATTTTGTAAGGAAGTGAGTCCATCCAAAGACTTGAATCATGCATCATTGATTATTGCTCTCAGAATTGTTTTATTGATGTTTTTATTATCCATCTCTTCTTTAAAGATATCTTAGTCCTTAAACTGTTTACTAGTTGCACACATCCCACATCACTGTGTATATACACTGTGCTAGTCAAAATGTTCTGGCAACTCTTCAGAGAAGTATTTAGGAGAAACAGAAGGCCTTTGGTGTATAGTTTTGTTTATTGATTCCCTTAAAAACTCCTGCAAAGCATCTCTTACAGTTTAGAAATTACAGATTTAGCAAATTAAGCTCTTTCTCATGTATATGACAATGAATATTAATTACAAAAGCAGATGTTTGTGAGAAGAACATTTGCCTTTATTTTTAAAATTGTATATTCAAGACACACAAGCTTTACTTTGTTTCTGTTTTTCTTATGTTGAAAGGTTTTTATTAAGTATATTTTTTAAAGTAACCCTTCCTCCTCTTTATTTTTAATGAGGGAACCACAATAGTTCAAAAGGCAATCACCTGTGTTTTAAGAATAGGTTATATTCTATGTTTTTCTGTGTCAAAAATATGTCCTATTTTCACCTAATTTGTTCTAGGATGGAGGTATTCATGACATATTTTTGTGGTTTCTACTTGTTCCATCAAAGCTGCTGTTGATTCAGCTTTGATGGAAACTACCTTTTAAAGTAGCCAGGATGCTTCCATTGCTCTCCTTTATTCCCTTGTTTAGTTATTTACTCAGCTTATACATGCTGTGCATTTTTTCATTGGTGGTGGTGGTGCCAGCTACAAATTCTTTTTCAGCCTATTCCTGTATTAGTGAGACTGGCTCTTCCCCATATTCTCATTTGTTGCCACAAATTTCACCTTGTAGAAGTACATTCCGTGAGAATGGAAATAAAGCAGCTAGTTACCTCCCTCATTAAAGTAATACACAATAAGAGTGATTAGTGCTGTGAGAAATAACAGTAGGTAAACATCTCTCAAAGCAATCCAAGCCAAGCAAGGACTAAAGCTCTTTAAAAATGTGTGATGCTTCTGTTAAAGAAAGAAAACAAAGCTGCATAAATTGGCTAGATAATGCTTATGCCAAGTGGCCTAATTTCTAGATACAGCTTTATTCACTCCTGTTTCATCCTTTTTTCAAGGACAAGAGCTGCTTAGTTTTACAATTTTTTAATACCCCTAGTGTGTTGTGGGTGCTGTTGTAATCTCAATTATGTAGATGTAATTGCAAAACCTATTCTTACAGATAAGAAACATACACTCACTGCATTTCCCACACTATTTCAGAATTTTTAATGAAAATCATATTTGACGTTTGTCTCCAGCATAGAAATAATGAAGTATTAAGCCTGGGGCAGGCTTGTGTTTTCAGCTGAAGTAGCAAGGCTGAAACTTTAAGCAATCTTAAAAATCAAGTCCACAAGGTGTAGGTAGCTTGATTCCAAAAGCTTTGCTCTGGAGACTGTCTTCTGACATAAGATAGGATAAGTCATGGAGAGAAACAAAAATGTTAGAAAAATGTGATAAATAGTTCAGGAAATATTGTTTCGAAATAGATTTAGAATTGGATATGAAACCAGTATAGAACATGAAGGAACAATGATTCCATTTGTCTCACACCTAAGTGGACTTTAAGTGTGTGTTTTAAACTAATATGAGTTTCCACTTGGACTTGGAATTACTTCTATGTTTGAGATACTCTAGGTAAAATAGCATAAGGAGTTAGTAAAGAATCACTTATTTGGGAGAAAATGAGAGTTGTGCTTCCACGATGAAGGATCTGTCTAGCCATGCATCTCCTCACTATGGCAATTCTTTGTGGTACGTGTCTAGAAAACTTTTGTGAAAACTTGCAAATCTTCAGCATTTGTGGCTGAGGAAACTCCTGCAACTGAGTTGATGTGTTTTCATATAGGAACTATATAATTTTTTTCAACTTTAACTTCTTCACTGGCTTTCTGAACCCATGCAAGCTTTTAGTTAGCATCAATATATACATCTGTAGTTCTTGATTTAGAGGAAATGTACCTGAACACACGCCCACACAGAACTGGTGCCCATCTTGTTTTTTGTTGTCCAGATATACTCCTGGAAGTAAAACCAGGACCAGAAGAGCAGTTACAGTCCTGAGTGGACTTTCTGTCAGGTCTGTACTCCATGCAATCAGTGGCTTCTTGTTTATTCCCTCTCCCTTTTTTATTCAATAATTAGCTTAATATTTTGTTAATACAGATCCCATCAGGGTCTTTCATTGTTATGTAACAAACTCCTCTTTAATGAATTGTAGGTATTTGAAGTCCTCAATAATATTTCAGACTGTGTGGAAGGTGTTGCTTGCATGCAAGCTACTAGTGACACATCATTTACATTCTGCCCACCTAGAAAGGAAAAATACCTTAATAATCAAAACAGAAACTATCCTTTTCCCTTCTTCAATACTTTCTTGATAATTCAGTCAAGAAATTATGCAGGAAGGGCCACTTGAACATAAATTTCCAAGGAAGGAAAAAATAATGTTCTAGCAATGTGAGAATGAGAAGTCAAATGAGGGGAATGATATGTCGTATGTCAGATTTTTTTCATTTGCATATCAGGTCAGCCATCAAAACACAATTTCCCCCCCTTTATTTTAAACTTGATGTACTATGAATACAAGACAAAAGTTTTTTCAGTATGTATGTTAGATAGACTCCATTTATCAGGAAAGTTAATGTGTAGAGAAACTGGCAGAATGCGAATGTTTTTACAGAAAGTAAGGAAAAAGTAAGTATCATAAAGATTTGACTGTAACCTGAGAAGTGCAAACTTCTCTCACTGTTATTCAGAAATACCACGTACTTCTATAATTTCCTTGCTACTTTGCTGCTGATAATCAGGAATTGGAAGAATCCTCATGTACTGCTATTGAACTGATACAGACAGTGACCAGTCTGTGATAGAAAGGAGGTATGTGAAATATCTAAGTTCTTATTCCTCTGTATGTCCTATCCGTGCTCTAATACAGTGTGGATAAGATGCCTTTATTCTAAGACTACCAAAGGTTAAAAGCTACTGAAAACTCTATTCCGTGAGTATCTCTGATAGGAATTCCTGTTTACATTATGAGAAGAAGGAATTGTTGAAACTGATTGTCATGGTTTGACATAGTTTTGTTTTTTTTTTTTCATTTTCTTGTTGTAACCAGCAATTGCTTTAAGTTCTCAGATCTCAGAGCTCAACACTGTTGTACAAGAAATAATGGTAGCACTCTTCATTAATTTCTTTTTAATCCAAAAGTGCAGCAACAGCATGGACAACCCGACTGGAAGCTAGTTCAGCCACAGGATGTTTTAACTCTTTTCAGATAATTTTTTTTTTGCCAAGTACTTAATTTAGGTTAGGCTTCTGCCTTTCAAAGTTTTCACAGATATCTGTGGTTTATTCCTTTGTAGAACAAAAGTGGTTTCCTGTGTGCAGTAGAAAGATGTGGGGGTTTACAAAGATCCCTAATTAAAAACAGAATCACTGAATAAGCTGAGTTGAAAGGGACTTGGAAGGGACCATTTAGTCCAACTCCTGGCCCTGCACAGGACCATCCCCCAGAATCACACCATGTGCCCAAGAGTATGTCCAAATGCTTCTTGAACTCTTGTCAACCAGAAAGATAATTTTGTTCTGGTTACAGTGAAGTTCAGCTGTAAGAGGTTGGATGTCTTGTTTCTTTCCTCAAATTCATGTTTTTTTAATTAGAAAATACAATACAAACCTGTCAAATTACACTGAATGTCAGTTCAGCAATTACTATTTGAAATAATTTTGACCTCATTAAAATAGAGGAAAGTTATGCTTAGCAGAATTGCCAGCAATTACTCTTCTGAGAACATTACAGTAGGTTTGTACAAGAACAACTGTATAACAGTACTGAAAGTAAATTCAAAGAATCATTACTGTTAACTTCAAGGATCTGGGTTTTATCCTAAGTGTAGAAGCTTGCTGAGAGTGTTAAAAAGAAAAGCATCCGATGAGCCATCTCTAATTCATGTAGATATTTCTGTAGTTGTGGTGATTCAGTTTTTTATGTAGCCATCTTATATGTTATTCTTACCAAACCATAAATTCAATTTCTGAATCACTTCAGTTATGTTAACTAGTTTCAATTCATTTTATTAGGCTTTATCATTCTGCCTGAGGAGAAGGAAATACTGTTTTGTCTAACCTTATATATCAGTGTGGCTGCCTAAAAATCTGGAAAAAAACCCTGCTTTTAAACTTGGTATGCAAGTATTGTTCTGAGACTGGAATAATAAGTTTCCATTTTAAGCCTATTATACTGCTTTGGAAACCAGTGTATCCTGAGTACTAATGATGGTATTGATAGAAGCTCTTCTTGTGAAACTAAGTTTTTGAAGTGTTTGGTTCTGAAAGCTTCAGATGCCTAGTGGTGTTTTGAATCATGGTCAGAAGTCATTCTTAGCACAATCCTTCTAAATTACGGTCTTCTAGTATGGGATAATTTCTGCCTAGTGATAGCTTTTCATTGATGTAATTTTTAAGTGTTAAAATGTAATATATGTTTGTTACTTGGCTCTGAATGTTTGACATTGTATGGACACTTAACAGCAGTATGCAAATACTCACATTACATATCTGTATTGTGAAAATGCTTTTTCAAATGGATGAATAGATGTTGTGGGGAGGATTGTTCTGTTTCTTTCTTACCAGTAATTCTTTTTGTTTATTTGTTTTTCAGATAATGGAGGACAGACTTTAGCAGGGGGGAATAACTGGCCACTGAGAGGGAGAAAATGGACCCTCTGGGAAGGAGGAGTGAGAGGTGTAGGCTTTGTTGCAAGTCCTTTGCTGAAACAAAAAGGTGTAGAAAGTCATGAACTCATCCATATCTCTGACTGGCTGCCAACGCTGGTGCACCTTGCTGGAGGACATACCAATGGCACTAAGCCTTTGGATGGCTTTGATGTTTGGAACACTATCAGGTAACTTTCATGTCAAATCACCAAGTCATCATTCTAGTATGAGAAAAATTTAATCAGCCCAGGAAACAGAACTTGAATAGGGAGGGAAATATTACCTGTTCCTTTCCCATAAGAAAGGGAAAGTATAAATGCAGTTAATCCAGGTTGCAAATTAATCCTGGTTGCAGATGCAAAGCCTTCATACAGCTTTAACTTGGTATTTTGAATTTTTCAGTATGAACACAACAGCTTACAAGCATGGTATACGTCTTCAAGAACATTCTATGATCCCAAAGTATGTTAAATGATTTTGCACAGCATGGAGTATAAATTAGTAAATTTTATGGACCAAACCCTGCTCTCTACAGAGCTCAGTCAGATGTCTCTGCAGTATGCATCTGGAATTGGACATATGGGAAATCCATGCCGATACTAAACTCACTGAACGTGGATCCCACTTTGATGGTTTGTTAGCTCAGTACAGGACTTGTCAGGCTGGCTCACACTGTAACCATTTGCATAGACCTGTGTCGTGCTGTCCAGTGTCTCGAAAAGCCTTTGAGAGCAAGTACAAAACTACACCTGACCTGGTTCCTGGTTCCTGGTGTTGTGATGATTCAAGCAAGCTGAAATACTCAAAAGCACAGTGAGCATATGCTTATATCACTGGAAAAAGAGGAAGCATAGCTGGGTTATTTCAATGTTCTTTTATTCCACTAAAAAGGATTACAAAGTCCTTGAAGCCTAAGTTTTCTGCAGAATTTGAAAGTTCTGTGACCAGCCTTTAGTTTTGCAAAAATTGTGTTGGTTTCAATTCCTTTGTTTCTTTGTTTTCTGTGTTGCTTGTAATGTATTCATTGATAGGTCTAAATCCTGTTGTCTGTCTTTGTAAAAGTTATGTTTATTTTATTAGGTCTTTGAATATAGTTTTAATTCAAATAAGAATAATTTAAAATGGAAAGTACAATACTGCTAAAGCAGAATAAAAAGACTAACAATTCTATTTCCTACACACTATTCAATGGAAGATTAGTGTTCTGTTTCTTTTGGTAGCCTTTGTTCTGCTTCTATAGCAGGTCAAGTATGCCATATTATGTGTCACTTTTTGTCCCCTTCTTTTTTTGTTTGTCTTAGTATCCTAGACTGTGAATTGCAAGAGTTAAAGGCAATTCCTAAACAAGCGTGGCTAAGAGTGCTGTCTTGGTTAGGTACTGAGATGAGAAATTGAGAGTTAGAATAGGGAGATTTGAACCTGTGTACCAATCCTTGGGTCCATCTATGTGGATCTTGGAGTGAAAAATAAAAAACCAAAACTTAACTGAACCCCCTACACCACCCCAGAACTAAACCCTGTATCTCGAGTTCAGAATTGTTTTGTCCATACCAGTCCATACCTGTTTGAAGCTGGTAAGCTTGATTTCATTCTCACAGTTGCCTGTGTTTTTGAAGAGCTAAGGGGTGGTTTTCTGCAGTAGCTGGAGTTTACAGGAAGCTCATGGCCTTGTGCCCAGGTGTACTGTATGACTCTCTTCCAAGTGGAAGAAGATAAAGGTATGTATAATTGAGGCCAAGGATTATTAACTGCCAGGAAGGAATGGAGACTCCCATCCAGCCAGAAAAAGTAAAATACTTTACTTGTCAGTGTTCCTGTGAGGAAACTTAGCATCTGCAAAATCCAGGGTACACCTAAACCATAGTCTTTTCTTCCAGTTACCATTAGAACTCCTGCATTCAGTAGAATTCAGGTTCAGTTTCAACCATGTATTTTTGCCATGGATTCATCTTCTCAGATCAGATTACTTTAGCAGGAGAGTTGTTGGGAAGGATAGGTACAACTGTGCCAGCACACTGCTGACATTTGCATTTCTCTCTTTGTAAAGGGAATGAATGCAATCTTTACAGGTGACTACCAATGTTTTAGGGTGTGTCAAAGAGAGAACCTCTGTCTGGACAGGTAACAAGTCAGGTTTTCTAACTGTTAGGCTATTCCTTGGTTGACCTTGCAGCCAAAATGTCAAATTTCAAATGATTTTTCCATGTAATCAGGATAAATGAGTGTATTAAATTTCATGACCATTATTCAAAAGGTCACATATATTGTATAGCAAACAATGAAGGCACAGTGTCCTTTTGGTGATATCTGACGAAAAGTTCAAGTATGTTGTTTTTCTGGGACCAAATGGCTCATAGTCAATGAAATTATAACTTGCAAAGATTCTAACTCACTTGAAAAATGAAAATTAATCACTGTGTTGCATCTATTTTTTTCAGTACATTCTAATATAAATAAATGCATAAGCTTCTTGTGATTTTTTTGGAGGGGAGGACACTTTAATCCTGAGCCTGCTGGTTCATATGTGTGTAATCAAAAGGAAAAAGATAATAAATTTGTAACCTGGATTTAGATATTCAAAAGAATATATGGGATGGTGCAGATATTCTCAGAAGTCAAAAAATATTGAATCTACTTCAGTGATATCTATTAATGTTCAGTATTTAAAAAATAGGTTCTTGATATGTTGTTAATGTAATACTAAAAACATAATAATATAATGCAATAATTTATAATAAATCTTAGACTACTGAAAATAACTATATATAAATACAATTATGTTTAATATGATGTTTGTGTAATACTAAAATATAATAATATAATGCAATAATTTAGAATAAATCTTATGCTACTGAAAATAACTATATATAAATACAATATACTATTGAAATAGGAATATATATACAATAAACAGAAATTCAATATAAATTTCTAAATTTTTAAATTCAACATAATTTTTTTATATTTCAGTATAAATTCTGAAATTCTAAACCAAGATGAACTTTCTATCATGACTTTAAATGACTGGTAGTCCAAATTAGGAATCACATTAACATGACAGCAATTAATATTAAGTACTTGTAGTGCAAAGTAGTGCTGAGAGTCACTTAAGAGCCAAGTGTTCCTTTCATATCTTGTCCACTTAATTCTGGCCCCTGAAGAGAAATAACAGTTAGGAGGAAATAGCAGGAAAAGATGATGTTCAGGAGCATACATCTTGTAGACAAAAATACCTTCTTTTGCATTATTTTTGGTTACCTATACTCTTAAGTTTCTGTCATACAGTGCATGAAACTGAGGAAACACAGTTTTTGGGTTCTCAGTCTTTGAACTCTTAGGTAGAAATTTGTATGGTAATTAAAAGCTCTGACAGGGATTCTAACTCAAAAACTTGTCTACTCTTTCCAAATCCATCTGCTGACCCTTTACTGTTTCAGCACTGTATCAATGAAAGACTTAATAAAAGAGGAATACGATTTTATTTGAAATAGAAACTGAAAGAGTGCAGGTTTTGCTCACACTCTCAGAGCCAGTCTTACTCACCAAGAAGTGTGTGTGTCTAGGAAGTCTGCCCAGCCAGACACAGGGGCAAAGGATTTCAAGCAATCCGCCTGGCATCCCCACACCATGATTTCTGTGAACACACGATGGGCCTGGCATCTGTTGCTGTGGAACAAAGGTCCAGGGATGTCAGGTGTGAAGTCCTCCAAGCTTTGGCTGTGTTCTTTGTAGGTTGGTAACTGGGCATGGGTTCTAGTTACGCCTGTTTGTGTCCCTTTGATGCTGCATCTGTGTCCTGCACTATCTCTGTGAGTCCCTGAGGGCCATCACTGCTTTGCCTCCAGACGTTCCTGTCCAGTGGAATTGGTCTTGGTGTGCTGCGGTTGTGCTGATGTATTAACGTGGGTTGTTACAAGAGCCCTTTCCCTGCTCTTGTGTTCATGATGTCTCCACATGCAGATTTCACCACTCTTTCTCCATCTGTACCTATCTTGAACTATTTTTCCCTGCAAAATTTTGTTGCAGCATATAATTAAACCAGTACTATGTCATTTTTATTTTTCTTCAAGTACTTTTGAAATGAAACTTCTACTTTGATGTCTTTCACTTCTTTTTGAAAATAACTTAGCATAGTATCATTGTGTAAACCCATTTTTGGATAGCTATCAGGTCTTTCCAGCCTCAGGTATCAACATTTTATAAAGGTTCATAAATATATAATAAATCATAGTAGATTTCCCTTTTCTCTTGCCTTAGATTATCATAGGTAAGACTACAGGATAGGTCTAAAACCATGTATGTATTACAAATCATTTCTGAAGATATGGTGATAATATCACTGATATATTTTACAAAAATAGCAATTGAGTATACCAAGAACGATACTAAAATGCAACCAGGCAAGGAGTCTAAATTGTACTGCATAGTTCCAAGCAAATATAAAAGGCAGTTGCATTTTTAAGAAACATCTGTTCTCCAGATGCTTACTACTCTATTGAAATAAAGACACTTGGCAAAGCACTTTTTCTTTGGTTGATACTTTTTTTTTTATACATCTTGATTTTCAGCACTGAATATCTAGTGTGTCCATGCTCAGAGAAAGTATTTTATTTTGCATTTACTGTAAAATGGATTGGTAGACCACATGAAGCAATATGATAGGCACTGAGAGATTCAGGATAAAATACAGTACAAGTAACTATTATTTTGTCAAAGCTTATTACTAAGCAGAGAGTTTAAAGTCTTTTATATTTTGTAGGGCAAGTTTAATTTTTATATTTTTATAATGTTGAAATGTCATAACTGACTTGGTGTAGTAAATGAAGTAAGATCAGCTTGAATTCTTCTGTACTGAATAGGTACATTTGTTTTAGGAATCAAGCACCTGTTTAAAAAAAATTCATTGTTGCGATATAAATTAACGTAGAAAAAAGAGCAGTCTAAAGCTGAGAGTATGTTTATTTCTAGCATATCTGAAATATAATCATTTTAAGGAAACATTAAAAATAAGACCCAAAGAAATGAGACAAGATTGTAAAGACTCAGATTTTGCTTAGTGACACTGAGAATGTTTTTGTGCAAGACAAACATACCCTGAAAAACCTTGGATTCCTTTCCAAGGACACCTTCTGGCTGTTTAACAACAAAAGTGAAAGATTGCATGTAGATCTTTGTGCTCACTGAGGAATAATAGGGCTTTCAGTATGTTCTAAAAACTTCGCAAATCAGAAGAATGAGCTAACCAGTTATGATTCTCATACCAACACTGAAGTTAGGCCACATGCTTTGCCATTATTCTTACATAGAGGATTGTTTTGAAAAATAGCAACTTTTAGCTGCTTAATTAAATAATAAGAACATATCTTAATTATTCTACCATCTGACAGGGTAAAATAATAACCAGACAATATAAAAAGTTCCTTATGTTTCGGGGGAGGAATGACGTATTAGGATATTGAAGTCTAAAAATAAATATACTAAAATTAGAGCATTGTAAGACACGGTTACCCAGGCTGTTAAAATACAAAGGCAGGTTTCCCTAGAGAATATTATTTATTGCTTTGTTATTGTGGCTCTCGTGGCTAGACTATTTTCCTGATGCAAGATACCCTTGCAGAACATCTGCCAAGGTGAATCTGTGTATCTGTGGAGTTTTGTAAATGGAAATGAGGGCAGAGTTAAGGCACTTCCAGGGAAACGGATCTCTGTTACAGGCATAAATTTCCTATCTGTTGTCCCCAGAATGTTGCTTCTGTTTTCCTGATGTTTTTGCTGTGAGGCAGGTGGTTTTTTCAATATACAATGCCAAATTCTTTAGCTATTGTTTTGTGATATATGCTGGTTATGAATATCCATGCTCTGTACAACAAGAATTACTGGAGTAATACTTGAACTTAAAAGCAGCACTGTACCATGTAATAGCTCCACAGAGCTTAATGCAGTGATGTCATAAACTTCAGGGAGTAAATCTCATAATTACATATAAATCACATCTGAGGTACTGCAAACAGTATTCTATCCCAGAACAAAAATAGATTTAATGATAATAATGGCAAATGCTGCATGAAAAACTTACATTAATACAAGTATAATCTTTATTTTTTGTATTCTATCAGCTGTAATGTAAATAGCCATGTTTAGTATATAATATCCACTGTCCACGTTAGAATTTATAAAGGAAGTTACCTTCAGTCTGCTTGAATACTATGAATATGCTTGGTTTAATCATAGACTCATGGAGTCATAGAATAGGCTGGTTGAAAGGGACATTTAAAGGTCATCTAGGCCAGCTCTCATGCCTTAGACAGAGACATCTTCAACTAGATGAAGATGTCAGGTTGCTCTAAGTCCCTCCTGTGCTGGGACCCCAGAGCTGATGCGGCACTGCAGGTCACTGCCCTGCTGTCACTCAGCACCGTGTGGATACTGAGTGGCACTGTATGAATATTGACCTATAAAGATGAGAAGTAAATAGGAGTAAGTTACTTAATTACGCTGTATTTGACTCTGGTGGAAGATAATGGATTACTTAGCATAATTGTGGTGTTTTCTTTGTTTTAAAATATTCTGGAAAATGTAGATACAACTCAGAAATTGAAAGAAAAACCTTCCCAGTTTTCACAGTTATTGCAGAGTCAATCACAGGCTATAAATTTGAAACCTAGTTCAACTTTTGCTAACTGGTTCTTGTTCCTGTTACCTATGAACAGATGGTGAAAGGCACTCTTGAACACAGCTGTCAATGGCGCACATAGAGTTTATTAAGTTTAAGATAAAATTTGTTTAAATAAGGCCAAGCGTTCTTAAATTAAGAGTGTGACTCCTATATACACTGGGTGGGGGGAGCCACAATTAACCTTTCACCCACATTTTGGAGAAATATTTTTGTGGCAGTTTCTATATATTGAATTACTAACACTGTAGCTTAATTAATGTAATTCCTCTGTATTAATTACAATACTATATTACCTGAACACATTTAATCTTTTAGTTCTTCTTGATAGTTCTGTATTCACTCAAATTCTATCATCCAGAAATCTTTTTAGAAATGTAACAGAAAATTATTATTTTGTTTGTTACTGAGGATTTTAAATTACAGATAAATACTGTTTAATGTATATTCTATATATTTAAATGACTGTAATTTTTTATGTCTCCAATGAGTTTTATATTACTTGAGTTTTTATTCTTAATGTCAAGAAGCTTAGAGGCCCTGGTTGAATTTTTGCGTCTTAAGTTAAGCTCCTTAATGAAAGAAAAAATCATTTAAATTATTTGGAAATTTCTAAAAGTGTGTATTTAGGTTCATTGTCAAATATAAATTATTGTCGTGTCTTTGTGTAGACACATTTCTTTCTAATTATGTCTTCTTACTCATTTTGCCCTCTAATAAGGAGTACATTTAATGTACTCAGTTTTTTAGGTCTGGGATTTACTTAGCTAACAAAATTTATGGGTAAGTTCAGAGGTTTATTCCCCACCATCTCTATGTACTGAATGGCTAAAAAAAAAAGGATTCTTTTCTTTTTTAACACAACAAGATTCTAAGTATCTAAGTAATCCTTGTGACCTCAATTAGAAATCAAAAGTAGTTTTTTTGTGGGACAGCAATGTTTTTGGTGTTTTTTGAGGCACCCAGCCATAATGTGTCCAGCACTTGTTCAGGGAAGCAGAGAGCATAACAAGAGCTATGCCATCTTTTGCTGTGAAATTTGACTCTTAAAATTGGTTGTTGTAAAACCCTTCTTAGGTAGGGCCAATTCTTTTATGAATGATTTAAATAAACACCACTGAAGTTAGGGAAAACTTGCGGAGGCAAAGGTTGTTGCTGCTCAGCTGGAAAGGAGCATTCAGATTAAAGTTGATAGTAATCAATTTAAAGTTATGAGCTCACTCTCTATTAAGATGACAAAAAGACTTAAAATAAAAGATGCAGAATCCTAATGAACTATAGGAGGTAATTAATATTTTCTTTTGAAATCTCTCTTAGTGAAGGAAGACCTTCTCCTAGAGTGGAACTGCTGCATAACATAGACCCCATGTTTGTGGATGATTTCCCATGTAAGTATGCTCAAGATTTATTAAATGTACAGTTTACCTTCTGAACACTTCTTGTCTTCTGTAAGTGAAGTGGAATGCCTTTTTCTTTTAAGTAAATAGCTTTAAAATACAGAAACATCATCCCCTGGATGGTGTAAGTTCTTAAATGTGATCAGCATGGGCTTCCCATTTCAGAGAGCTCTGAAACACTGCTGAGTAATGAATAAAGTACTTTGGGACATGGAAATGTTGAGGAGCAGCTGTGTGCCTGAGGTGCACAGTGAGGCACACTGCCAACAACTCTTTCCAAATCCTCTCTCCAGACTTCCAAATGAACTGCTCGCCCTAATACATCTTGATACAACTGTATAATATGACCTTGCAAATGGAAACCTTGAGTTTGTTTGGAGCTGAGAAGTTCCAAGCTGTGTGATTGCTTTTGTTCCATAATCATGTGGGTTGGATCCTTAATGCCACAATCACATGAATTGGAGCTGAACTTTGCTAATTCTATAGCTCTTTTTAAGCACCATCTGTTTTATGATTCAACATTACTAGTTTGCTAAGGACTACAAGCTTTTCAGGCAGACATTTTTTTCATATAGAACATTGGAACAGGTCCTTTCCAGTGTTTTTATAGCATTTCTGTATTTCATTATATAAAGACGTAAATCCAGGCAGAGAAAAAATAGTGCAATGGAGACACTGATCTGTTGCCTGCAAGACAAATACACATTGTGCTGCAATAACTGGATGGAAATGGGTGAGGTGGACTTTTGCAATGCACATCTGGTTCTGTGATGCTTTTCAGAGAAGGAGCAACATTGTGCCTATCTAATGCTGACTGGGCAGCACTGCCTGCAGATAGTTCCTGCATACTGATTGAATTAAGGTGTAGCTACTCCAATTTCTCTTAAAAAAATGCTTAGTGAGTCATAGGATTCCTGTACAATGTTATTCCTGGGTGAAGTATTCTCAGGCCTACTTCAGAGACCATCTTTTCCTTGTGGGAATGGCCTGTGATTGAGTTGTTTGAATAGACAAATTCCTGGAGTAAGCAGAAGGGGGACAAGCAAAGGAGGTTTTCAGGAATCTGAGCTCTTAGCAAATGTGGCCCCATACTGCTTCCATGATGCCGTGCTCGTGCTCTGATGATCATTTACTGTTTGCTGCATGTATCATGTCCTTCGTTGTGTGCATTGCATGAAATGTGGGCAAGAAGTGGGGCTGGGGGTCAGAAGCTGTAGTAGGTGCAACTCTTATACTGCATAAGATGCAGTTTTTAAGAATCATGAACAGAGGAAGTTATATGCATGCCTGTAAATTTACAATGTTTATATGTGCCTTTCAAAACTGCAGTGATTAAAAACAAAAACTGAACTCTTTGCCAGCATGTTCTTATGCACTATATAGAGTTTCCCTTTCTCTGCTCAGCAAAGGCCTATTCTTTCAGAAAATTGCTTTGTGCCTCCTAGTGAAATTATGCTTCATCATGTAAGGATTAAAATATCTATTTAGCAGCCTGAGTTATTAGGCGTAATTGGCTGTGTATGTAAGTTGGCTGATTTTTACTTACTGTTTTTCATTTCTTGAAACTGAATAATAAGTTTAGAATTAATATCTAGAAAAATTATTAGTGTCTCTATTATGGATAGATTAGTGAGACATAAAATTTGGAATATACAAGCACTTTCAGCAATCCTGATTATCTTCACCTTTTTCACCTTTTGTTGCTTTCTTTTTTTTTTTTTTTTAATTTTTTTTTTTATTTAAGCATCCTAAACTGTCCCTGCACTCCGCTTGTCACCAAGATGATTAACTGTGTCACTCTGGAGTCTTGCTCTTTCCTTGACTTTTTATTGTTTCCGTGTCCTAACTTTTTTGACATTGGATTACTCTTTTACCTATATTGCTAAAATACAGGTTTGCAGGTTTTGCTGTGTTCTTTCTAAACTCCTGCATAACCTTTTAGCCTCTTTTTGTATATTTTGCACTTGTCCTAGTCTGCTTTGAAAAATCACATCATCTAAATCATCTGATGTCAGATGAAGTATTCCTATTATACTGATACTTTGTTTTTTATAAAAATTTGAATTAGAAAGTGAAATAATAACTGGAAGATTAGCCAAATCTTTGGGCTTGGAGAGTACTGTAAAATGGCAAATAGTCAATGAACTATCAAGATTCTATTAAATTTAACCAAAAAAAATTACTTTTCAGGTTGTTGTGGTTAATCAGGCGAGAAAACGGTGCTGTTGTAGTTAGGCAAATGTAGAGCATTAAGTTACTATTTTACCTGACTCAGGGCAGGTTCAGTGTTCCTGAACTCCTGAGTAGTTTTGTCTATAATGTATACATTCTTTCACCATAATATTTTTTTATTTAATAGATGCATTTATCTTCATCTCTATCAGAAAAAATGTATTATATATCTATATATATTTGGTAGCATGAATGGCGGTATGCCTTATGTAATTTAATAGGGTTTTTTAACTGTAACAGGAAAACTGAGCTTTGTTCTATTCAGCTTTTTTACACCAAAATAAGCACTCCTTCAGGGAAGAATTTGTGTAAAAGACATTAATTAGTTTAGTGACAAGTCAACTGTTACAGCCAAGTCTTCAAGAGAATGTTAAGTAAAAGTAGTAAGACATGGCATCTTGATTACAGAGCTAGCAACATCTCTGCTGCTGTGGTCTGTTAGAACTGACCTTGGGCTATGTGTTTATTTACCATTTGTGGGGTAACAGTGTATAATTTTCAACTTCTCAGCACTGGTTTCTGATCTCTGAACATCAGCCAGGATTACTCCTGCACATAAATTTGCTGATGAGCATCTCCTTATCTTTTTTCAGGACCTGATATCCACTGGCAAACGCTGTAACCCTGCAGTGGTCTTGTATCAAGTACTGCACTTCTCCTATTGTTAATAGTAAAGAGCACAAGAGGAAAAACACTGTAAAATAGTTTGCCTGCAGTTCTATTTTTCAAAGAAATGCTGAGGTCTTATTCATTGACTCCTTCAAGCAGATCATCTTTCTCAGAAGGCAGACTTCCTTCATTCAAATATAAACCTTTCCTGTGGTCTGACACACATGGGCAGTGTTTTAAACTTTATTTTTCTTTTTATCATTAGTGCTAAAAAAGGCTTTAGTGCTTTCTCTCCCTGGCCACAGACCTTATCTGTAGCCTCCCAATGACTTGTGGCAGACCAGTGGAGTGTTTGGGGTTAAAAAGAAACTTTTTCTTAACAAACTGATCTGGTTTGTGGTGCAGACCTGCAACTATTGTACTTATGTAAGAGCATACAGTGGAATGAAAAACTAGAATGGGATCTCCAAAACTAGGATGAGGAGAGGGGTGCGTTGTGGTCTTTGGGGGTTGCAAAGCCAGTCTGGTGATGAGCTGTTGCCAAGATGGCCAGCCTGTCCTCTCCCTTTCCTCTGTCCTTCCTGCTTCACTTGTGTTAGGTGTAGAAATCACATGGTAACAAGATGATTTTTCTGCTAGATCAGCTTTCAGATTGTTTTGGGTAGCCAGTCAAAAGAGGAGGAAAGGTTTCTGCCACATCAGTGAGCTGAATCAACCTGCCCTGTAGCTGTGTGATCAGTGTGTGGTTGGTAGCAGATGGAGGGTCTGGCCACAGGAGTCACTAGCTAAGATAGGCTCTGACCATGAGGGGAACCTCATTCAGAGGCAGTAGTTTCATGGAGTTTAAGCTAGTAGGCTGCTGCTGCTACCACAGAGGATATCCTGCCTCCCACAGCGCCTCACCACTGCTCCCCTTTCTCATGGGTCACCAAAACTACTCACAGCCAGGCTGTGAACCAGGTCAGGATACTGGTTCAGATTTTAATAAGCTCTTTCCCCCCCACCCCCTTCTGGGTGTATGCTGGATACCCAAGTGCTCATTTTGGCATAAAGACTGGGACTAGAAGGAGTTTTGAGGGACAGGTGAGACTGATTATTTTGGCTCTGAAATTAAACCCTGAGGTTTCTGTTTCATGATACATGATTAAGTGATTCAACAGGTTTCTGCTAGGGTTGTGCTTTACTTTCTCCCCTCCCCTTTCCCAGCCACATGCTCTTAGTGCTTATTTTGTATTCATTTTGGCACTTTTTGAATACCTCTGTGAACTGATCCAGCTTGCTAGCCTGGTTTTCCTCTGTCATGTGGGTTGAATCTGCACATTGGAGGGGCTGATGGATGCCAGTGGTAACCCAGGGCAAGGACAAGGAGAGTGTGTGGTTGGAAGAGGGGAGGCAGAGGGGGAGGCAACCCTTCTAGTACTGTCTGGCTGCTTCTGGAACAAGAACCCCTCAGGGAAGGAGTGAGAAACCACATCTTCTGGCTGAGCCTTGCTGTGCTAAACCAGTCTGGTGAGCTCTGCAGATGGAGCTGGACCCACACACCTCAGAGGTGATTGCTCCTCTGCCTCCCTGCTAAAAGCCATTGCTTTCATCTTTCTGGTTGTTTCTTCATCACACTGTTGATTGTCTTCAGAAGTGATGAATATATGTCTCAATTGTTTGATCTCAATGTAGATTTGTAATTTATTAGAGAGTTTAAAATTATGTAAATTTGAAAAATCTACTGTCTTTCAGGTTTGGGTCTGGAACATCCACACTTTCTGTTAGCTTTAAAGATTCAGTAGTAAAATGAGAAAATTAAAAACAGCTGAAATTATGTAAAGAGTATAATTTTCTCTGTAATGTACAGGTTAAGAAAGCACAAATAAATACATAAAGTAGCTTAAAATTGCTTAAGTAAAAAAACGGATTTGAAGAGAAAAGAAACAAAATTGTTTTGCCCCATTTTTTGAATTTGTTCTTAAAAATAAAAAAAATAGCCAAGTTTGTTGATGGTTTGGCAGCTGTGGGGATGACATCAGCTCCTCCATTGTGAAAAATCTCCTGTCTTTTAAACAGCCTTACGGCATTTCATCAAGTTTTGGTGATTCAGCTAAATTAAAAACCAATTGGTTCTAAGTCTCAATTCCTCTAACTGCTAAATCAAACTT